ATGGACTGAACATTGTTAATACAGTTCTTACCTGATTAATTGTTCTTATTGTATACAGTTTTACTGTGCTAGAGTTAAAACCTTTCCTTTTAATTTAGAGAAAATGGGGGAAATAGGAAATATTCCTTCACTGTGTGAAGATGTGTCACTGTGATTGGTTTAATTAAAAGCCGAATGACCATTACCTAGGTAGGAAGAGGTTAGGTGGGACTTCTGGGGACAGAGAGCTATGGGAAGAGGAAAGGCAGATGAAGAAGCTAGATGGAGAGGAAGCAGGATGGGGAACACAGAGTAGAGGTAACTGAATCGCATAAAAGTACATAGATTAATAGGTATGGGTTGATTTAAGTTATAAGAACAAGTCAGAAACAAGCCTAAGCTAAGACTGAGCTTTCATAACTAATAAGTCTCTGTATCATTATTTGGGAGTTGGCAGGACAAAGAAAGACTCGTTACACAACTATACGATTCTGTGATTCTTAGTATATCCACAGGCATGAAGCCATCCTCATTTATTTGATTCTTTAATGTTTCATCACCCCCAGAGAAACCATGAACTCACTTAGCACTCACTCTCAATCTAACCCCACGAAGTCCCTGGCAACATCTTTTTGCTTCTTGAATTTCCCGTTCTAAGCATCTCATATAGATATAATGACATAATATGTAGCTTTTTAGCTGGCTTTTTTAATTTAGCATACTGTTTTCATATTTCACCTGCACTGTAGCAAGTAATAGTACTTTGTTATATGGTATACTCATTCATACAACAAATACACCATTTTGTTTATTCATCTGTTAATGGACATTTGGGAATTATGACTGAACATTGTTCTTTATGTCTGTTAATGTACTTTGCATTTACAGATGATCTCTTTTGGGGGTAAATCTGAGAATGGAATGGCTGGGTAATATAATTACATGATTAACATTTTGAAATTTTGTTCCATCATTTCCCAAAACAGTGGCTCTATTAACAAGTTAATTCCTATTAACAAGGAATGAAGAGTGCTAATACACATTTTCACCAAGTTTTGTCTGTTTGAATATTAAATATTTTGGCACTTTAGTTCATGCACTGACATCTTTGATCCACTTTGACTTTTTTGTTTGTGCTATAAAATAGGGATTGAGGTTCATCTTTTTTGCATGTGGCCATCTGGTCAACCCAACATCATTGAAAGCTGTCCTTTTTTCTTGACTCCTCTTCTTAGTAGTCTTATCAAAAACCAGTTGAAAATGCATATTTATTTCTGGACTCCCTGGTCCATTCCAGTTATCTAAGGTTTTGTTTTTATGATAGCATCAGGCTATCTCTATTATTGAATGTTTGTATTGAGTTGTGAAATTAGGAAGTGTAACTCTTTCAACTTTACTGTTCTTTTTCAAGATGTTTTTAACTGCTTTGAGGTTCATGGATATCAAGAATTTTAACATCTGATTATCAATTTTTCATATGTACCTGGCATTCTCACAGTGACTGTGTTTCAGTCAATTTTAGGAAGTATCTTTGTGATTTTAAGGTTTCTAACTTACGAACAAAAATTTCTATTTCCATAGAGCTCTATTTTTTCTTCTCACTTTTGGTATAGAAGTATTGCATTTCTTTTATTTAACTTGCTGCCAAGCATTTTATTCTTTCACACTGTTGTAAATGGATTTATTCCCTTAGCTTTATATTTTTGTATAGCTTATTACTAGCCTGGAGAAATGCAATTCTTTTAATCAATATCTTATCTTGGAACTCTTGACCAATTTGTTTGGCACTTTCTTTGTACATTCTTTAGGAATTACTGCATTCATGTCAACAGTAAACACTGTCTCTGTATTCTCTTAAATCTGTAGCCTTTCCCCTTTTTCAGTGCCGCTCCTGGTTAAACTCAGGCATGTTGAACCCCTGACTTTTACTTCTTATTGTTTAGTCACCCCCACCAGAACACTGTACAACATCGTATAGGAAGCAAGCGTCATTATACCTAACTTTTTTGGTGGGGGGTTTCAGTTTTTCTTTAGTACCATGTTTATTGTGGGTATGAGATGTTCTTTATCAGGTTGAGAATAAAGCTTTTCTAGCTTGGTAAATATTTTTATTGTGAATTACTTGAATTTTTGTCAAATATTTTGTGCCTTTGGAGGTGGCCATATTTTTAAAGAGATCAATTGTTCTATTAATACAGCATAACTTTCATTGGGAGATGTACAATAAAACATCTTTCATTGTTAGCTCATCTTCATTGTCAAATTGACAGGCTCGCTCCAAAGTTAAATCCTTGGGCATGTTTCTGAGAGTGTTTCCAGAGAGTTTCAACAGTACAGGGAAGACCTAGCCCTAATGTGGGCAGCCCCATGCCATGTACTGGACTCCCTGACTGAGTAAAAATGACCAAGTGAGCTGAGCAGCAGCCTTCATCTCTGCTTCCTGACTGCAGATGCCATGTGTGCTCCTCCTGCCGTGCCTTTTCAGCTACCATGGAATTTCTCTTGTTTTAGGTATGTGAGCTAAAGTGGGGCCTTAACCCCTCTTTCCTACTTGATTTTATTAGGCATTTCATCATAGTGGTGAGACATGTAACAAACACATCCATTCTTCAGTAAAACCTCAAGTTACACTAAAAAGACTCAAGAAAAAAAATCCTTTTACTGAAACAAACAAAAAACAAGCTTCCCAAATAATAAATTTACCATGGTAAAGTAATAGGGCTACATTAGAAAAGTGTATGGACCGTGTTACTGCCATGCAAACTTTTCCCTGTCAAATTTGTTGAATTCAAGTCAACAGGCCTCTTGTGCCCTCTATTACCTACCCAGATAACATGTCAGCTGCTGCAGTTAGCAGGGGACTCATGCCCTGTCATCTGCACTCCTGCCCAGCTCTTAAGGCACTCATGGCCTCCAATGGCCTGGAATCTCTGACCCTCCAACTTACAACTCTAAAGTCAAAGTGTTGGCATTTTAGCCGTACTTACGGTGACTGGGAAGAGGGTAGGTGAGTGAAAGTTGTATAAATCTATTTGCAGAAAAGGCCAGAGAGCCAAATAGGGGTCTTAAGGAGAAGTATGGAGGTGAGATCCCATGATCCCCCTTTCCTGTTTTATTATATTACAGGGCAGAGCATATGATGCAGAAATGCCCAGGGGAAGAACACAATGGAAACCAATCTGTGAGATCTTGCATTTATACAATGTCATCTTTACACTTCATACTGTTTCGTTAAGGTGGGACGGGACCTCCTACAGTCTTGAAGTAATGTTGGCTCTGTCTTTTAGCTTCCAACATGGTTCTGGAGAAGTCTAAAGTTACTGAGCTAGTATAATCTCTCCATGTAGCTTGATTTTCTGCACTGTTGGAAATCACTCTGGCTCTAGAGTTTTGAAATCTCTGGTTGCCATGGTTTGATGGAAGCCTCCCTTGTCGCTGTGAAGAAGGCATCATGTCTCATTCTGGAAATCAATGTAAGGAGTACCTTTCTTTTTCGGCTCCTATTCCCGGAGATTCTGAAGTGTTCTTCTGGAATGTATTGGTCTGATTTTTGCTCTATTTTTTGAAGTCTTCACTTTCAGCTTTCTCCCTTCAGAAATTCTAATTTCCAAGATTTTTCTTGTTGCTCCTTTCTGGTGCTGTTCATCTTTATGTTACAGACATGCCTTTCCTCCTCTCTGGAGACAATAATTTAGTGTTTCAGTCTTCTCCCTAATGGGTTCTTCTCAGTTGCTATTTGGGGTTTATTCATTCATGCTGGAAGCTTCTACCAGCTATCAGGTTGCCTTTGATCAAGACAGAAAACTACAGCAGGCACAACTGGCAGCTGAAATGAGAAAAAGGGTTTCCACCCAGCCATGCGGTGCAGTCAGCTGAAAATCTTAAAATAACCACCAGTCATGACCTCTTCCTTTTGTCTGTGAGTGCAGAGATCTTGAAAAGCTTCCCAGGAGTGTCATCATGCAGGTTAAGATTTAAAAGCCATTTTACTGAGGAGCTTAGAGCTCTGTCCCAGACTCTGTCCTTCTCCCTACGGCTCTGCTCGTGGGGCTTCATTGTGCTTGGTACCCTCCCCCTCAGCTCCCATCACAACTCCTCAGGCAGGGAAGTCCAAGTTGAGCCTCCTCAGGAGCAACTTATAGGCTGTGGTGAGGGTAAGGAGGGGCAATGTACAAGGGGCGGTGATATCAGAGAGCCAAGCAGCTTCAACCGTTCTGTTCTTCACTCTTGTTTCTGGGGAAGATGCGGCCATCTGTTTACCAGTCTTCAGGACTTTCTGCACTGATTTTGCACTGGTGTTCATTTTCCATCTTGACAAATAGAGATTTTGCATTCCCTGGTCTGGTTTCCAAAATTCTAGTGTTAATAGATTTTTATCCATGTTTCTGTTCGTATGGGAAAACAATCCTCTGCTATATTATCTGCAGTATAAGGTCCATGTACACTTTGATGCTTGTTCAACTTGTCATAGTCCAGTCATGACACAGAGAGGAAGGTGTGGATTACTAACAACCTTTGCACACACTCTCCCCATGGGGAGGTGGAGACTAACTAGTGAAACAACTTAACCAAAATGATGAATCAATCAAGGGGCTCTGATCCTCGCCAGCCTAACCTTAACTACTGCGGTTTCTTCCTCCCCGCAGCCTCATGAAGGAGAACACTAGTTTCTTGCTGTTGCTGAGTGACACCCAAAGGAGGAAGGAGTTTAAAACTGTAAGAGTGCATCATGGGACAGGAAATACCCAGTAATGATTAACACAGGGAGACCTGCATGCCTGACTTTCAGCAACAGATAAAGTATCAAGCTAATAACTAACTATACACAGAGACTGAGTAAAGAAGTAGCCTGGAATTTGAGTTACTTTGGAATAGCATTGATGAAATTGAAGGGGGTGCTCCTTCAAGACCTCAAATATCATGAGACAGGCAAGAGCAAGCATCATGTACGACGTCACCTGCATGGCTGCTCAAGACACTTAAACTGTAACCCTATTCAAAGCTGAAGAACCCTACTTAAGTCAGAAAGAATTAAAACATTTATTGGGCATAAATATATTACATATACACTACAGATACAGTTAGGTATTACATATAGCATAGTATTTGCAAAATCTATACATTAAAATTGATATGGCAGTTTTAATATAATGTATATGAAATAATCTAAAATTTACAAGACAAGAAAACATATGATTATTTTTTTTTCTCCTAAAGTCGAAAAGCTTGGAATGTATGTCCAACAGTGAGGTAAAACATTTCGCCTTTCAATTTAAACAATTGTGCAAGGATAACATTCAGACACATTCTATGAGGGCACTTTTCAATTTTGACACAAATACTGAGTGATTGTAGCCGAAGAAACAGGGTTAAAAAATGTCAACATCTGAAGTTTGATAAAAACAAGGCAGAAAATATGCAAAATAGCCTTTAAAAAAGTTTTCTTGTTAAACATTTTCTTTGAGGACAAAGGGCAGTTTGCTTCAGATGACTGGAATTTCTTGTGTCAGGGATGCATGTGACATACAGAGAAGCCTCAGAGCATGGGAAAGCCACTCCTACGCTTGGTCAAGGGCAGAAGGAGATTAATAGAACACTTCATCTTACTGTTCCTTTGTAATGACAATATATATATATATAGCTATATATCCATAGCACATATACAGACTTGCGATAGAAAATAGTGCCATGTAGAGGAGTAATTTCCTGACTGAAGAGATTATAATGAAAACAAATAATGGAGAGCAATAGAATAAAGTGCTGTCTGCTCGAGAGTCACACACTTCAGCTCCCTGATGGCCACGGGGCACGGAATCTCCAGAAGATCAGATGCTCAGAGACTTTGGCTGGAAGCATTGTTGCCTTTAAAACCGTTCAACCAGTTCAGAGAATTCTCTACAGCAGCAGTGCTGAAGTGTTTCAAAAAAAGACTCGCCCCACAAATAGCTCTAAAGGTGATCCCGCTGAGTTTGCTCTCTCCTGCTTACACCTGTCTCGGAAAATGCAGATGTAATGTCACAGTGGGTCAGATGACACGCTTCGATGAAATGATGAGTTTCTGAAGGCCAGAACTTTGGCAAAAATATATTTACCTTGATACCATCAGTTTACAAGTGTAATTACACTAATTATTATAGTCAATAACAAAATACAGAGCTCTCTAGTACTGAACTACATTGATATAGGCACACAGTAATGTATTGATCTTAGCACTCTCGAGAGATGATTACGGTTTTCTGGGTACATGTAAACCTTTCAATCACTGATAATGGGATTTTTGGCATTTAATGAGTTAGATGCTCTTCTTATCTTTAAAAACACAAGGAAATGTCAGAAGGTTAATACTACAGATGCTGCCAAGGAACAAACTGACTTAAAATTACAAAAGTATAAAACACACAAAATATAACATGCTATGAGGGCAAATTAGTACATAAGTACATTTAAAAATTTTTACAATAAATAAAGATTGCACTGTAATTGGCATTTAAAGTACTGTATGCAGAATATAGTATAAATAAACCCAAAACAAAATAATGTTGGTTTCCCCATGACTTTGGTATGGGAATATTATAAGCTAGTACAGGGTACTTACTGCATAGACAACATAGACCAAGCACAAAACAGCTATGATCAAGAAAAACCAAGGATCAAAAATATACAAAAAACCAGTAACAGGGGATCGGCTGTGTCTGTCGCACCCTTTTGGAATACAGTTGCACCTCCAACTCTTAAGTGTCCCTGAGGTACTCGAACATTGTGGACTTCATATGAGTAATCCAATGACTTTGGGTTAGAACTGATTATCATGACTCTAAATGAATGTGCGCGATAACATTTGTACTCCAATAGCACCGCTGGATCTAAGATCTCAAAGCACTTACAGATACTGAATCCCCATTTGATTTGACTTGATTTCTCATGCATGGAAAAACAGGCACAGAGAGGTCACAAAGCAAGTTACTGACAGATCCAGGGAGAGAATCTTGGAGGCTCTTTGGCCACAAACACATTGTACTTCCAGCCGCTTACCACTCCCTCTCTACATGTGGCCGGATGGAGCCCCCAGAAACAGGGCAGTGTAGATGGTTCCCTTGTGGGCTTTATCAGTAAGACTTGTGTCTACGCTACATTAGTCTTACGGGCGCTGAAATCAGGTACTGGACTTCATTCACTTTACTGATACCCCAAGGGATAGCCAAAGACAAATCTTTCAAAACTAATGGACCAACATGTAAGAAGACAGCCCACAATTGTGAGGCATTCGACTGCCATGAGTTCTCATCACGTAGTTCTGGTCAAACACAACAGAATATAATAACTCTAGTGATTAGAAGTAGTTATATACACAGACAGACAGGCAAGTTAAAGCAGCTTTTAAAGTAGCTGAACAGGAAAACTAACTATTGCACAATGCCCTCTTAAAGTTACTGCTATGGACCGACGTGGAAATCTACAATGCTCCATCACTGATAGGTGCATTTGGTTATGTGATTTCTTAGACAGGCAACTCATAGTGTTAAAATGATAAGGGATACAGAGTAGTAACACATTTAGATTAAAGTACACAGTTTGACTTAAGTGAGCTACACAGTTAAGAACTGAGTGATGACAGATGGTCTGGGTGGCCTCAGCCGAAGGCACACATGTTCTGTATGTTCTTGTGTGGCAGGACTCTGACAACAGCAAACCCCAGCCCTGAACTCCATACACTGTGATTCTGTTTACAGATGTAGACTGTGAATATAAATTACTAAACTGGAACACACAAAAAAATCAAAGGCTCGTGAAAGACTTCAGTGGAAACAGAATAGAAGCATACTGGAAAGCTTGAAAACATAAGCTCACTGCGCTCACTGGGCACACGGCGCTCACTGGGCACACCGGGCACACTGTGCTCACGGGGCACACGGCGCTCACTGGGCACACTGCGCACACTGTGCTTACTGGGCACACCGCGCTTACTGGGCACACTGCGCTCACGGGGCACACTGCGCTCACTGGGCACACTGTCTCTTGGTGGCTGGTGCTTTCCTGCTGCTCTCCTCTCCTCTTATTTATTTCTTTATTTTTTTTTAATCCAGTTTAACCTCTTCCTACTTTTGCATCTCAAATAGGTGCAGCCAAACACCGACTGTTTCTCCTAGCTAAATCTGTAAAACAAGAGAAGTATATAAATCAAAGGACAACAAGGCTGAAAGGGAAGGCTCTGAGTAAATATGTATTCAATGGGTGGTGCCCCATTCATACCTTTAGTCTGCAGGTCTACTTCATTAAGAAGTACTGTAATATAAAGGCAAATAAAATGGACAAGGTTGCGAAGCCAAGCACAATGAGGGCAGCAAACTGTTCATCAGTAGGCATCATGCCCTTCATTTTGGGATCGTCCATGCTCCCCATGTCTCCTGTAAGCATGACCTCGCGTCGTTGTAACACAAAGGCCACAGAGGGGCTGAAAGCTCCACTGAGCTCCTGGGAGGTGTCCACACAGCGGCGGCACGCGCACACACGGAACCTGTAGTCTGTGTTGTTCTGGAGGCCTGAGATCTGGAATGTGGCTTCTTCTCCCTTGTACACCTTCAGAAAAAGAAAAAGTTGTAGATGAGCAAGTCAGAACATTGTGGCTGCCACAGGAAATATCCTGCACTCCTGGAGCCTTATGGATACCTGTTCAGATAAACCCTTAACAACAGCAATGTTCTTATGAAATCACCCCGGGAACTTACCTGGAACAAAGTGCAATATAAAATCCAGTGACTTTTCCAGAAGTGGATGCAGCTAACGTGTTAAGTAATCCAGATACACAGAGCTACATTTCTATAGTGCAGATCGCTATTAGAAGAGGCTCATCACACAGCTCTGGCTGTCATCTCCAGACTCAACACTGCTTACAACGAAGCAGTAACCGCTGATGCTGGTGACAAAGCACCGCCTGTCTCTCTCTCTCTCTCTTTCTGACAATTGGCTGTCAGGCACATCTAATCTTCTGACATTGTGACGTGTTATCTATGAAGTTCACACATAAGAACTATGTAGTCAAGTCACAAAAGACAAAGCAAAACAAAAAACCACCTTCCCTAACTCTCTCATATTATTAAGAAAATTTGTGTGCTTGTGATGCATCTTATTCCTGGCTGTCATCTGTCCCTGGCTCACCTATCTGCAGCTCACACATGATGATGCAGCCCAGTCACACATGAGACACAGCCCAGTCATGGTACCCCAGCCCAGGTAAGTACCGCATTGACTTCTAGCTCTGAATCTTCATTTGTCTGTGGTATAAATTCACACATACACACACACACACACAGAGCCTACAGACCAGAGCAGAAGGCCCATGTATCTCTGCACAGAAGAGCCGTCGACACACGTCAAAGGGTACAGAGTACCATGGGTAGGAGATACCATTGGCGCCCCTATAGTGCTGAGCATGTAGGAACTAGGGAGGGTGGGAGCAGCAGGACAGGCTGGCACCGAGCCCTGGTGCTGGAAGTGCATGGTCTTAAGTCTTTCCCATGGTAAGACTTATAGTAGACCTGCTTTGAGACACAGTCTTTCTACTTTTTCAGTATTAGATCTAAGAAAAACTGAAAACTTCAATCCTTAGATCTACACAAAAAAAACCCCATGATATCAAAAACAAAAGAAAACAAAAAATCCCCAAATCCCTAAACCCAAATGTTCACAAAAAAGAAACGAACGCTATGTGCTTTGAAAATCTACTTCATGGCAGTTTTGTGCTTGCCTATCTGAAGAGATTCTTTGATGCAGTTCAACATAAAAAAAAATGAATAATGAAGTTAGGTGTGGTACCACATGCCTTTAATTCTATCCAGTCAGGAGGCAGAGGCAGGTGGGAGAATCTCTGTGAGTCTGAGGCCAGTCTGATGATCTACATAGCCAGTTCCAGACACCAGAGTTACATAGTGATAGGCTGTCTCAAACTAACTAACTAACTAACTAACTAACTAACTAACTAACTAGCTAGCTAGCTAGCTAACTCACAAACCCACCAAACCAAACACAAACAAATACATGCAACTGATAGAGGGGTTTCTTTTAGTAGTCTATGAGCAAAACCAGTCTGCTCTCTCCCATTAAGGACCTGGGATTCTGAAATATGTCCTGCCTCTTAGACCTTTAATGCAATCTCGGAGAGGCTGACTATTTCATAAACTTGAAAGTCGGTTTTCTTAGAAATGATCACATTTTGAATCAGCTGAGCTAACAGGAGGCTGAGGAAGAGTCATTTGTGTGGTATCCATTCTTAGAAAATGTCAAGGAAACAATACATTAAAATTATATGAAAATTAATGGATTGTATTAGGTTTAGCAAATACAGATGGGGGGGGGCTGCAACTAAATCAAATCGGTAATGTTTGGCTAATGAGTGATTTAAGAAACCTGCACTAACTGACCCCTTCCTAGCTGACCCTGTATCTCCCCTGCTGGGAACTTTAGAGGATCGTCTACAGCACCTGCAGCGATCAGCTGAAGGAAAGCGCAAAGACGCTGACTTGGTGTGTGGGGCCTGTCTGTGGGCACCAACGCCAGCAGTTCTTATGAGTTGCCATAAAGTCGCTAGGGCCTCAGGCTGTGCCTGTGCAGGGTGATTTCCCAAGGGACCCTGAGATGCCACACAGGTGGCACTGGCTGGTCATGCCTCTTATCCCTTTGCTCTGACAGGGCCCTCATTATGGGCCTCTTCTCCTGCCTCAACTCAATTTAGGAGGTGACACTCCATTTAAGATTTTCTTATTGAAGTCATCAATCATAATATGGTGAAAGTAAGGATAGATGTGGAATATTTATTTTTTATAAAGTTATTTTTGTTCTCGATTTGGTGCCATATTTTAAACTCATTTTGAAGTGTTTACAGTGAAGTGAGGAATGCAAGAGTTTTACTTCCGATTAACAAGCTGCATGGCTGAAATCCCTTAAGCGGCAGCTTCTGGAGAGAGGCACCGAGCTGGACTGCTGGGTTTGCTCGAATGCTGCCTCTCCTTCATGGTTTGGCCACATGTTTCCCTGTCACGAGTGGACCGACGTGAGTCACACTGGAACAGTCGAGTTGCTGGGTTAGTAACGGAGGCTTAGCAAAATGAACTAATTCTCCCAAATCCTAGGACCATGGGAGGCAGGCGTGTCCTCAGACATCCTGACTCAAGAGGGAGCCTGCTGTCCTGTAACCTCTCCTGGGAGGGGCAGGGGTGGCTGAGCACCTATGCTGCTCAGCAGACAGGCACAGCAAGGGTGCTGGGTGTCCACTGCAACCTGTCCGTGCACTCGTGTGAACGTCTTCTGCTGAGACACCTCCACAACACAAAGCAGCTAGAAGCTGCAACCTGGGCTCGGTACCTGCACTCAGGAGATCGAACAAATACAGATTATGGGACATTTCAAGTAGATGTTTATACAAGCATTGTTCTAGTTTAGGGGAAGTGGTTTTTATGAGATATGAATATGAAACTGTAAACTTAAAAATTAGTAAAATAAATGATAGCTTGGAAAGATTTCTACTTTGATCTATTTTGTTCTTGCTTTGGATTTGAAACATGGAAAACTTGAGGTGATTAAAACAGCTTTGCAGTTAAGTTATGTGTTCAAAGTCACTGAGACATGCTGGCTCTGGAATCTGCTTTAAAATGACTTTAAAATCAACAGAAGATGCTTCCTCACCAAGCCCCTGGCGAGAACATGAAGGATCGGTATCTACCCCAGTGCTGTCAACATACAGAGACGTGCCAACTCACCAAAGGTGGGCTCCACAGAATTTCTAATGCCTTGGAGGTTTCCCAACTGCAATGAATCTGAGCTATAATTAACAGGAAATAGTTTCTTATAATTTGTCAACTCTTTCCTTATCTTCAATGCTTATATTCAGTATTTTTTGGTAAAGACTACTGACGCCTGAAGAGGTATCTTTTGTGTGGTGTGCGAAAGTGAACTGCATGTATCTAGAGAAATCTTCACCCTTTCAGGAACGCTTTGTAGTAATGCCATGGAAAAAAGATTACGATTCTTGAAAACCACTTTGAGCTTGGAATGTTTAAGTGGCCGAAAGACAGACATATACATGCAATTGAATGTGGAGTGAAGTGCCAGAAAGGATTTGGTAGCTCATTAAGGCATGCCTATGTAGTCCTTAAAACAGGCTGCCTGCCACATCATGATGGTAGCAAAGAGGAACTGAACCAAAGGATGCTAGAACCAAAACAAACTCAAGACAGGAAAGGCATCGGACCCGCCTGTCCAGTGGGATCAGCATCACTATTCTTCCTGTTACAAAGCAAACTCACACTGCAGGTGTAAATTACCAGCTCCCTGGATCCTGCCTCTTCCATGCATGCAGGATGCACTTGCCGAGTGCCCGAGTATGTGCCAGATCAGAAAACAAATTCAATCAGCGAGCGCTCCTATTAGCGGGTGGTGTGATTAGCACTGTAATGGGGTCTATGCAGTGCAGCATGAGGGTCCTGGCTTGGCTGGGCTGCTGCGCAGGAACAATTACATCCCATCTGCTTTGGCTTTGCTGCTATGAATTCAAAGCCTGCTTGTCTATTATCCCACACATTATACAAATGGCCTTCATTCCCTCTCCTGTCAGGACAAGGAAAGGCAATACTCAGAACACCACAGCAAGAGAATGGTTACTGAATCGGGAAAGAAAAAGAAAAGAAAAACAACGAAATTCCCAGACCCAGTACTAACTGTCCCTGATGAGCTGTGTCAGCTGAGGCTTCTCATGTCACGACTGCCCTTACTCACTTCTTGGTAAAGGTAGGAACTATGTGGGCATCTCTACTGACGGAAGCGGTCCTGAAATGCCACATTCTTGATAATCAATAACCGTTATACCATTGATGGTAAGAGAATATTCTATGGTAAGTATATGAGTACACATCACATCAGGACTTAACACTGAACGGTGGCCTGAGAAAGGCTAACCTGATCAAATCTAAATTCCTGCAGAGATTAGTCTTCACTCTGACAACGGTGGACGCGCAGAAACTGAGCACACAGTGCTGCCCTTCCTCTGCCAAGCAGCACCCAGTGTGCACTGAGAACAGAACGTTTTTTCCAAGAATACGTGGAAAAGCATGGTACATGGAACAAAAGGTTTTAAAACCATAGCAGCGAACATGTGATGAAGGTCCGGCTGAGAAACGAACTGCTGTTCAGTGTCAAACAAGAGCGAGATGGCCAAGGCTTAACTAGAGCGAGCTGGAGAGAACTCCTTTCTGCTAAGCTGAGCAATGGCACGTGTGACCTGATCGCTTCTGAGATGGCAACAGGATGAGAAGGGAACAGGAAGCTGAAGAGAAGCCCAGGACTTTGCTCCCTTGTGAGGGGTATGATGGAGGTCTTGGTGACGTCATTGGCTCAGAGGAATCAATACTGGCAGATGTCAGGCTAAAGATAAAGCTTGTGCAAGATGTGGTTAAAATATTCAGCCTATCTGATACTCATAGTAACAAAATGTATCAACATGTCCAATAACTTCTTTGACATTTTAAGCACATTTTGTTTACAAGAATTTTAAAAATTATCACACAAAACAGCAGCAAGCACTTTAAGCGACATGCTGAATCAGATTTTCCTCTCGTGTGTGCATTTGAAGACTCAAAGGCTAAAAGCAGCAGCCTTTATAAACAATGCCAGCACTTCCCAGGACAGGCAACACTGATCTTCACCTTATGAGTTCAATACAAATGGATTATGGAGAGTGCCAAGTGAAGACGGATCTTACTTCCCTGATGGAATAAACAATCACATCCCAGTTCCACCCAAGCAGTCTGTCTTCCAGGGGGCTGAACTCAGTACTGTCAGTGACCCAATAAGGCATTATTCTGTAAGGTATTAAGGATCACGAGGTATGAGAAACAGTAAAACCAAATTCATGTTTTCTGTTGAATAGGTTTGACTGTGATCTATTTACTCTGACACAACACATGGCCATGTCACCAGGAGCCATCTCGAATCAGAATCTGGACCCTAAAAGGTCTCCATGTGATGGATATGCATAATAAAGGCTGACAAGAATCAGCCCAGAGCGTGAGTCAGGTCACCCCCCTCACCCTTTCACCGTCACTTCTGTAACAGGCAGAGAGGACCCGGAATTTGAAGGGTAGGTTAAGATGCCTTCCTCTCTGGGGCCACTTCAGCTTCCAATCACACGAAAACTGATTCGTGCAGATTTTACACTGCTAAACAAACACACCCCTTGAATCCCCTCAAGTTTATGCCCGGGGAACTAGGAAGATAGGAAGAACACCACAGATAGGGAAGGAAACGTAAACAATATAAGCCCGTCTCAACCACCGACTCCTAACAAACCCGCAGCTCCCTGCATCAATCAGGGCTGTGCTCAGGGCTCGCAGCCAGCCTGACGCAGAAGAATGGCGCATGCACGGACACTGGGTCTTACCTGTTTGTACTCAGATTCTCTTCCGACCAGTACCTGCAGGATGTAATTAACAGGATCGCCTTTCATCGGGGGTACCGTCTCCCATAAGATTTCACACGAGTTTCCTTCTAACTGTGTCACTCGAGGTGCTGCAATACAGAACCACACCCAAGTCACGTGAGTGGTCCCATTCCCAGCACTCAGCCTGGGAGAATGCGACAGTGCTTGTGTCCACCCTGAGAGGGAGCTTTATTGTTCAGCTTCCTGCGAACCCTACTAGGTAACCCTCACGAAAGGGAGGTTACTCCAGGACCAGGAGGCCCGTTCACGGCACATCTTCTCACTAGCTCATTAACGAGTTGCTGGCCTGGGTCTCAGTGCACTTATTTATCCATCTATCTATTGATCTACCTATCATCCATCTATCTATCCATCCATCTACCTACCTATCATCCATGTATCTATCCATCCATCTACCTATTATCCATCTACCTACCTATCATCTATCTATCTATCTATCTATCTATCTATCTATCTATCTATCTATCTATCCATCCATCTACCCCCTACCTTCCCCCCTCCCTCCCATGGCTGTTGATCACCTTCACAAGGTTTATAGCACTTTTCATGTGCCAGGTACTTTAGGGATGTGGAAATAAAGTATATATAAAGGGCACATGACACAGAGAAGTGGCCAAGGTGCCTGTGGGGTGGGGAGCAGGTTGAAGGCACATGCCATGAAGCAATCCTGGAAGTAGTTACAACAAACCTGGCAGAGCCTAAGAGCCTGTTCTGATAGCCCCTCCTTCCTGTAACCGACTATGTCCCGGATGTAGGGGCCTCAACTCCTTCATGTGGAAGCCGTCCTAGGGACACATACAGAGGGACTGCCTCCAAAGTCAGTACCCTGCCTGCAGCACACACCACCAGCAGGATCACTGGACAATGCTGTTTTGTCGGAGGAGAAGTTCCAGGGACTTGTGTGAGAACGTGACGCCTGGTGATAGGGACAAGGCTCTTGTCACCACGAGTCCTCCCATGCAAGTCTGGCACTGACTCATCCACAATTCTGTGACTAGGGACATGGCAGACTTGGAGCCTCGGCACAGCAGGAGTGTCTCTATCTACCCTCCTTGAGAAAGATGGGAGATTTAGATATTTGCTGTCTTGGCGCTTCTGCAGGACCTGATTCCTCCAAGGGAAAACCTCTGGAGAAACACTGATGGTCACTGCCATAGGTTTTCAACAGTGCCCTCTATGGAGTGGGTATGTGCCCACAGGAAGTGCTGGTGTTGCCCGAATCAGGCTCTAATTTCCAGGCACTAAAATCACAGAGAGATGAATGCCAATCTATAAAGGGAAGTATTCTCTGTCCCTGCTTATTTAGACAGAAGGGGTAAGTATTGTGGAAACTCATTCAGCCAACAGCTTTGGGGGGTACTGGACTTAAGGGTGTGGCCTTCAGTCTGTGGACATGATCACTTTTAAGAGAGAGGAGGGGCTCACTCGCTTTCTTGGGTGGTGGTTGGGGACCTGATCACAGTTCCCACCGCCCACAGAGCAGGCCACCACGGTGATTCTCTACCTTGTTGTTCGTGAGTGTTCCCAAATAAACACTCAACACCCTCCTTTATCTCGTGAATCCACTTACACATGCTAGTACTAACCTCTGAATGTCTTCGGGAAAGAAGGCAATCGGTCTTAAGCCACCTCTCACTCACTAACACAAAAGCTGTCATTCACATCAACTCCCTGTCTGTTATGTTTGGAAATTAGAATATCTTTATATATTATACTACTATATTATTTGCAATAAACATGCATATAGAATACAGTAGACTGTCCATGTAGGCATTTACTCCAGATAACCTACCACACAGCTTTTTTTTTTTTTGAGAAATTCTGATTTCATTTTGTTATTAGAGATATTCAGAATGCATTTAAGGTCAGACCTGAACTTTGCAGGTGTGACGTCAGTACATCCTTCCCCTCCCAGGACAGTGCAGGTCTACTTCCACACACCTTTGAGGGTGGGAGGGACACTTTTGGTTGTGCTGAAGGTGTAAGTTTCTGAGAAAGGTCCCTCCCCTGCCTCGCTTGCTGCCTGGATTCTGAAGGAGTAGCAGGTGGACTCCGTCAGTCTCTGGACCTTGTAGGTGTGGCTGGGTCCTCTGTAGATGGAAACAAACCTGGACAGAAAGAGGAGCAGAATCCATTAGTCACCTGAGTTCCTTGTGGTGATAAATTCTGAGGCAGACTCATGGAAAGATCAGGGCTAGCTTGATAAATGCCTCGCACCACCTGAAGGGACCGGTTGCTATGTAATGGTTCAGTTCAATGTTCAAGGAATGCTTGTATAAAAGAAAACACATGGTAAAGCACACGCGAAGAGCAGAACCAAGTTCCAGAAACATTAGTCATGCATGTTTTTATTTACTAACAAAAGCAGACTTTTCAAGTGTTTCATTGTGGTTAGTGGTAACCCACGTATTATTTACTTGGCAATGAAGTTACTGTTCAATGGTCACTTGATAAATAAGAGGTCTATTTACTCAGATTTTTCAAATAACAGAAGTTTAAATCCTTTAAATGTTGATCTTTATTTATACAAGACCTCATGAAGCCCTTTCCCAAGCTGGCAAAAAGACATTTATGATTATGTATCTTGGAGAAAATACACAAAAGACAGAAATTATCACCAGGGTAAATGAAGTAACATATAAAATGGCACGGGCCATCTGGGCAGTTTTTGCTGGCAGATTCTGGTTTCTTCTACCATTTGGTCTGAAATTATTTTATATTTCTGCTAAATTAAAATATTTTTAAAAATCTTAATTTACTATTTGCGTGTGTGACCGAAGCACACTCCTTAATTCTGTACCTACGGCTCTCAAGCTCACCTCTATGCAGGTGTGCTCAGCAGGTACACCTTCCGACCGAGCCATCTTCCTGCTCTTATTATTACTATGCAACGTAATTACATAAAGTGTGAATTAGAAACAATGCCTCGTACTTTAGGTATTTTCTCAGCATATCTTGAAAATTTAACTCCTCCCCCAGTGAAACTGGACTACCTAGATCTATACATTGACTTTTATCACCTAATAACTGTATGATTCTGAAAAAACAATGCAATTTTTCCAAAAGATCTCCAGTACCTAAACATCACTGGCCCAGGAACACCCTGAGAACCAACACTGAGAAACTCCAGATTCCAGGGGCTTTGCTCACACAGGCCATGCTTGGCTACTGGTACCCAGAGCTCCCTCAGCAGTCAAGGAATCCCACTGTCTTCAGAAACGACTGTAAGGCACCAAGTGACAGAACCATCATTCCAAATGTCTGACCCGAGCTTGTTGGGCTCAGGGAGGAGAATTCTTACAATTATTTAGCAGTCATTCTTAGCAGCCTGATGTGTGCTGGGCTCTGGGGTTGAATGAGAATCACACTGAGGTGCTGGCCCTGTGTGGGGGCAGGAAGTTCTGGAGGTTCTGTGTGAAATAGTCCTAGGTGGGAGGGTGGGGTGGATCCACGGGCAGTGAGAGACGGACAGACCAAACCCTGTTAGCCAATACTCAGTGTAGCCCATCCAGGCACGCACCAGCCTTTGAAATGGAGTTCCGGAGCCCTGGGAGGTTCACTTACTGCTCTGCATGTTTTGATCAGGAGGAAGTGTTTTTTATTGAAGGCTGAACATCCTCCATTTCAAGGAAAGCCAGAGCCCAGGTTGAAACCCACAGATAGCCATGGCAACCTACTTAGCACACTCAACACATTACTGCCTTAATGAAGACACCCCTGCTAATGCAGAGGCAAATGGCTACTTATTAACTCAGCTTCACCTGGGCCAGAATCGCCAGCGGGAGTAATTGCCCTTAATTGTATCACAAATGGAAGTCATGGTCTCAGAAGCGACACTGTTAAATCTCCATTATGGTGACCTGCAAGCTCAGTGTTTGTCTGTAGAACTGTTTCCAGCCCTGCCACACACCAAGGATGGTATTTCCTTTAGAAAAGACGTTTGACACACATTTGTGTCAAGGTCTAATCACGTACCTAGATAGAAGCACTCGCAGTCTCTACGAAACTTACTGAAGCAAGTCCAGTAATCTGACTTAATACTACGTTCCAAACTGAGTAAGTAGAACACATATAATTCTCAAAACCATCGAAACTTGCTGACTCTAGACTATTTGGTCCATTCTTGTATTGCTCATGCACTTAACTGGTACTCCGACTTATTAAAAAGCATCGCAGGAAGGGCTAATAGTAATGGCAGATTGACAAATGTGTTATTAATGCACGTCCTTAGGTTCGGAGACAGCATTACCCACATTTTTGAGAAAGGCTGAATTAGTTAGGGTAGAGAAAGTGATTGCAGGGTGAGGATGGTTGGAAGCCATTAACCTGGGGTGCTAACTGCTGGTGGTGTAATGTTGAAGCATCGTGCCTGTAGTGAAGGCAGAATCAGGGAGCCTCAAGAGGCCAACCTGGGACCATCAGTCCCCCTGGGAGGGCAAGCTGGGTCTTGGCAGCCTATAGCTCCCAGTGGGAGGAGTCAGGAATGCCCGGAAAGCAGGCTGCTCTTTCTTTATTACTCCACACCCAACATTTTTTTTGTTTTACGTGCATTGGTGTTTTGCCTGCATTTATATCTATATAGACACTGATATATTAAAAATAGAAATTCATTGGCACTCATAGCAAGTCCCTTTCCCCATTCATTTGCATTCATAGAAGGCACCCTCCCCCACCTTTAAGGTTCTTCTGAGATACTCGACACCCCCAGTTTTCTATGTGGGTTCCCAATACATGGAATGAGTCTTGCCGCTGAGGACACGGGGCCCAGAGCTTTCCAGATGTCTGTCCACTTCTGCTGCAGTGGTCTTGCTTCAGTGCAGGAAAATGCAATTGATTTTCCTTCTATTTATTTATAAAGCAGGTCAGAGGTAAAATGCATTATCTGGATTTGACTTTGGATCCAATCAGATATCAAATAGTTCCTTTACCACCCTTCTGCCCTGATTGGTCCAAGGCATTTGGCTTGAAGTTGAGCAAGTTAGCAAAACATTTTTATTTTTTAGGATGAATCTTTATGATTTTATCCTAAGAACTAAAATGTCTCTAAAATATTTTTCCTCTATGAATTAAGGACTAGAGTCCCAGGCATCACTATGTGTACTTCGTAGCCTGGAAATCGCAGGCAAAAACCAGTCGAGGCGTACATCTCTGCTCATCTGAAAAGTCAGGGACAGGCCTAGGGTTAGGACAGAGGTCTGATGGTGGGAGTCGAGACACAAGCCATTTCCCGCGGAGGATGATCATATGGACCGGAAGTGCAGGGGGCGGGAAGGAATGGGGAGCGCACGGCTGGCTCTGAATCTCCCAGCAGTCATTTATAACAGCACTGCAGTGTGAGAATGGAGCCAGAGTCAGGTCTGTAGCAGAGACTACTGAGACGGGTCGGTCATGCTCTCTAGTCCCTTTCATTAGTTCCTTACAGTGTATTCTTCTGGAGTTCAAAGAAACCTTGAAGATGCAGGGTTTTTTTTTTTTTTTGCTTGTTTGTTTTTGTTTTGTTTTGTTTTGTTTTTGGTAACAGTCAGTAGCTACCGACACTGGAAGCATCCCACAGTTCCTAGTCCCTGGCTGCCGGGGAAGTGTCACAGTAACAGATCCTGATGGGGAGAGCAAGTCGTGACTATTCATTCCACTAGATGCCTCTCCCCTGTCTAATCTCCCTGGAGCCTCACGTTGAAAAACACTGGCTGTCTGAACAAAACCCGAGCAGCAGATTAACCGTAAACACATTCCTGGAATTTACAGCCCTCCTGTTGCAGTCCTGGGCACAATTACCAAGAGCATGGCCCGATGAATTTGGGCTCAACACCAGCTCCAATTCCATTAGACCAGGCACCATTTCATTTCATAAACACAGACAAATGCATCTTCCGAAGTGTCAGGACAGCGCTATGACCTCAGCCTACGAGCTGATGTTGCTACTCTAGCGAGTGCATCAGGGAAACTTGGCTTTATGAGAATATTTGCTCAGCGTGTGTATTTTTCTCATGTAACATGGAAACCAGAACCATTCAGATTTTCTATGCTGGATCTGTTAAGAATAATAGACCTAATCACCGCAAGGCCAAACTAATCTAATTTTTGCTTTTCTGTTGAAATTAAAATCTCTTGTACTGTCTGTTCACTGTTTAATGCTAATTCATTTTCTCAGCAAGATCAGCTCTTCCAAATCTGCCACATACCTCATGAGGCCGAGCACACGGTGGCAACTCAAGAAAACATTCTGCTAGTTGAATAACCATAATCAAACACTAGGCATAAACTTAGCCCTCTGGAGAGAAGCATGATTGCAATGCTTCTCCATGAACATGGCCCTGAAGTCTTAGGAAATACACGTCCTAATGAAAATGGAATGAACTCAGTCAGCTGGGCTGTAAGAATTCTTGATGTAGTTACCCTGAGGCAAAGCTTTGGGCCATGCTGGCTTGTTCATTTCCTTCTGTTTGTAGGAAAGGAGCTCAAATGGAGAGGGAAAGAAGGAGGGAGGGAGGGAGGGAGGGAGGGAGGGGGAAGAAGGGAGAGAGGGAGGGAGGGAGAGGGAGGGGGATATACTAGCATATTTCACTTCTTAGTCAGAGAACTAAATGTAAACAAAGCTCCTAGTGCTTGGCATGTTCTTTGCATGTTCTCAATACACAGAATTTTCCTTCAGAAAGCTTAAAATATGTATTTGAATCCCTGGGTCATCTCGTGCACATGTGTGTGTGTATCACTACAGGTGTGTGGGTGGGCACATGTGGAAGCCAGAAGTCAACAGTGGTGTTGTCCTTAGGGTAGCTGTCAACCTTTCTTTGCCACAGGGCCTGCCACTTGGACCTGAGAAGGCTAGATTTGCTGGATAGTGAGCTCTTCGGATCCTCATGCCTCCACCACCCCAGTATTGCATAAAATCAAGTGTGGTGTGCATGCCTATAATCTCAGCTCATGAAAGATTGAGGCAGGAACATCAAAAGTGTAGGCTCATCCTGGCTACACAGTGAATTGAAAGTCAGCCTGGGATACATGGAACCATCTCGAAGAGAGAGAGAGGGAGGGAGGAAGAGAGGGAGAGAGGGAGGAAGGAAGGAAGGAAGGAAGGAAGGAAGGAAGGACGGACAGACATTAAGCTAACTGAACTGTGACATATTCAAGTCCAGCGTTTTGTCCTTGATGCTGAGTCAAGAGCTGGCATTAAAGGCTTGGACCATTCACGAGCGTTCACTTTCAGACACTAAGGAAGGTCATCTTCAAACTGAAGTCAGGCTGTCCTCATCCTGTTAAATCCCAGGAAAACGATTCCACAAATAGAATAAGAATGTATTATGCCCAGGACTCACATCACTTTAATAACTTTCTGAGAGCACTGACAAATTTAATTTAGAAAGGATAAATGTGGACTCCAGCTCAAAAAATTAAGAAAAATATCGTTCCTAATGGTCAAATTTCTTAAATTGCCAGTTCTGTTTAGGCAAGTGATTTATTTGATGAACAAGGCAAGCCTTAGCATCTCTCTGCCTCCTTCCTTCCCCCACCTCTTCTGTCAAAGGAGCAAGCATGCATGAGTCCCAGATTCTGCAGTCTTGTCTGTCGTATGGAGGTGTCTCATGCGAGCCACACTCCTCTGTACAGATGCTTCTACAGTGTTTGCTCTGTGCTGAGGAGCCACTGTTGACCACCATCTGCACAGTCTCCACAAAGTACTCCTTGGGTGGCTGTCCCACCAGGGCAGAACTACAGAAGAAAAGGGAGTCTCCCTGCTTCCCAGGTTCTCCAGGTTTATGGAGCAGTACAGCGCAGGGTCCAGCCCTTCTGTGCTATGTTTTTGGAGAACTACACAATATCCCCCAAAAGGTTCTTTCTATTGTCAACAGATGCAAAGGCCTGGAAGAAAAAACGTTAAGATTTGGAAATATCCCTTACACATATCATGACTTCTGTTAGTTCAGAATGCATGATTTTGCTAGTCCTCTGTGGCTGAGAACTTCTTTCAAGGTAGAATAATGACCCATTAAAAACAGATCCAAAGAAACATATTCAACAGGATGAATGCTTTTGCATATAAAAGATAATTTTGATCTCCAGTGAACTTTTCAAATCAAGCTCGCTGTCCCTGTGCTTTGGTGCTGGTAATGCCTCCAGCAGGACAATGGCTGCTTTATTTTCTTTCCACCTGATCTTCCTAGAAAGGCAAGCCAAGTTCAAATGTGTGGTCTGTGTGCACATGGTCCAAACTCTCAGAACATTTTTCCCCATGGCACTAAATTCTAGGGTTTTCTATGAGTTAATGATATGTACTTGTGCATTCTCCCTTCCTCTTCCCCTCTTTCTATGAATATTGTATTTGTTTCCATTCAGATGTCAACAAGACAGCTGTAACTCTCTCCTGGTTTTTGTTTATTTGTTTTGATGCTACCACCCTCTGGTAGAGCTAACTGTGCTGAAGGCCAAGACCTCGCTTTCAGTCTCCACACCAGTTCCTACACCCTATCTTCTGTTCGCGTGTCTCCAGTGGATAGGAAGGCTGTGTGAGGACATTCAGAACAGAACAGGAAGGCCTAAAGAGGCACTGTGGTCTCTGGAACTTTACCACATCTTTACACATTTCTTTCTTCTTAGCAGACGTGGTCTCTAGTTGGCAGAGGCATAGGGGTGCTTTTCCCAGACTCCCCCTGGAACCTTGCACAGTAGACACACAGGACAGTATTTGCCCTGGATTTCTCAGGGTTTCTTTGGCCTTTGCTTGATTGCTTTTCCTCAGCTAAGCACCCACTCACTGCCTATCCCGTTGTCTCTGGCCCTGACATTATTTCCACAGAACCCAGGGTATGGCTACTTCTCCAGATCTTGGTTTCCACTCAAGGTCAACAGAGCTCCACGGCAGTAAACTCAGTCTAACCTCCTGACTGCAGAGCAGTGGGCCAAGAATGTATGGGAGAGGAAACCCCATGCACTGGAACAGAATGTGGTCCTACAGACAGGGATACAACAGGGACAACCTCTTCCACGCTTCCAGGAACATCCACTCTAACTCAGGAGCGTCCAACCTGTGGCATACGTACGCCCCATGGCAGCTGTGATGTGGACCAACACATCTGTATACTGACATCGTGCCATACTGTCGACAAGTTCAACACAGCTAATAGTTCATCACTGCCTTGGTTTTATGATAGTCCTCCCTTCTGCCTGATTCTGATCAGAACCTTTGCTAGTAGAATATTCTGTGACCACTAACTTCGGTCTTCTGATTGGCCATTTTCTGAGGAGATAAAGCTATGTTAAGTAAGTATGATGTGAAAACCTGAATTTGATTTCAACATCTCCAAGTGTCCTGTGGGCAGGAAGTCTTAGAAGAAACAAATCTCTTATTTGCTCTGGTTAATTTGATATCACAGCACCCATAGTTGCAGAGTACATTCCCCATCTGTACATCACCCACAGCAATTCCAGATTGGTAAACATGTTTGTCCCGATGGTTACTGAATATTTAAAGAGGTACCATTTCTCCCAGGTCCCATTTTCCTCGGCACTTATGACTAATATAATGTTATTAGACAGTGGGGACTTGAATCTGACAATTTTCTCTTTTGATAATTTCTCTCCATCATCGGCCCTTATAAAGGGAAAAACGTGCATCTGTTGTCATGTCGGGAGATGGGGATGTTTCAAACGCGTAAGAACTCCAGAGGAAGAACAGGGTATACTGCTGAGTAATATGCAAGAGCCTTCTGTAAACAAGGAGGAGGGGTTTCAGAGGAAGACGAGTATGAGACGAACAGCAAAGTTGGACGTGCCAGGAATGCATGCGCCCCGCTCACCTCTTGCTCCGGTCCTCCAACTGCAGCGTGTACACCAGGTCACCAGCGGCATGCGTCCTGGAGTTACTGTCTCCCCACTTGAGCTTCAGGCTCTGAGGACCAGATGCAGCACACTCCAGTCTAGGAGGCAAGGGTGGCAATGGCCGAGTTTTTGCTTTAATGAACTGACTAAATGGTCCGACTCCAATCTCATTGACGGCCTGAATTCTGATCCTAGAGGTGGGGAAATAAAAAGACAATGAAAGCTTAGGAAGTGGAATTTCCTTCATTCAAAACGAACATTTGCTGTCCCTAAAGCAAGGCTGTGGGAGACCAGCTAGAGTAAACCCTGGGCAGCGAGGAGAGGTTGTGTGCTCTGCTTCTAAACATAGCAAAACAGCGCATTAGCAAATCCTTCAGGATTTTACCTGGAGAAAAGCAGACTGTGAAGGATTCCTACAGACAAGGTCTTATACTGTGGTCTAGCCACTGACAGTTAGACTACGCATAAAGAATTCATTAAAAGGGGAACACATTCCCGATAGCCCTTTAACAGGACAGCTGGCCTCTCCCCTTAGCCAGAGTCAAGAGGCCACCTCTGGAGTAGCGGGGTACCACTCAGGTGTACAGAGCTCTTAGCTGGACGTTTGCTGTGTGCAGTAAGGATGTGTCAGTCCTGCCAGAACTTAAAAACCAGCAGAGGTAAATGTGTGCCCGAGACCTCCCACAGTGCAGATACTATCCCCATATCTGGTCTCTCTGCTTCACCACTTTCTGATGAGCCAGCTCTCCACAGCCACCAAACAACACATCGCTGGCACTGTGCTCCCCACTTCAGACCTCTTTACACTGTGTGCTACCGCGGACGGCCCTACCAGCCTACTCCAGGGTATGTCTCCTTTACTGCTCTGAGCAGAGGCCTTCTCTACTCTCGCCTCCTCTCTTCCAGGTAATACAAGCGTTTGCTAAAGCTTCACTTTATTAACAGAATTCTCAACCTCATATCTTCATAGTGTCACCCATGTTAAGCACACTTAGGTCTGTGGCTTTGAGTTTCTTCCTGAATCCTTGCAGCCCCTCCAATCAGACCCTCTCTCCAAATTCCTTGCTAGGTTCCCAGGAATCTCAACTCACTGAGTTGACTGAGAAGGGTAGTATTAACAGCTCAAAAAGATTCAATATTTAAGACTTGATTTGAATTCATAACAGTTTTTCAAAACACATTACAAGTAATAATATAGTCTAAGAAAGAATATTTAGAAAGCAGATCATTTTTACATATTTCTATGATTTAATTACTTTTATGGTATACTCACTTATAGCTTTTGTACGGGGTTTCTTTGTGTAGCCTTGGCTGTCCTGGAACCAGCTGTATAAACCAGGCTGGTCTTGAACTCACAGAGTACCACCTCCTTTGCCTACCCAGTGTTGGGATGAAAGGCGTGCACCGCCTCCCGCAGCCCTCACTACAGCTTTTATTACTTACACGTTAATACAAAGTACCACTTAAACATCCCAACACTAAAGCAGAAGCTATGAGGCAAGTTCTTCAAACTCAAAAGAGCGTACAAGTCAACCTGGAGTATCTGTAACTTAGAAAAGAAAGGTTTCTCACATACAAGGCAGAACACCACACTCCACCCCTCTTCCTCACCTTGGGGCCAAGGACACAGCTACCTCAGGACTCTGAAACCTTAGGTACCAGCTGGCACACGTCGGCAAGTGTAGGGTTGGGCGTCTCACAAGCCAACAGTATTTGTTTTCCCCTTTATCATCAAGGGGTTGGACTAAGCTGAGAAGTGGGCCTCTATGCACAAAGAGCTGCAGAGAAAGGCCACTTCCCTGGCCTTGCATGGCTCTCAATGAGGTGGGAAATTTCCTTAGCAATTCTAGCTTGCTTACAGCCTAAAGGAGAAAAACCAGATGATCATATCAACAGATGAAGTATCTAACACAATCCAATCTCTAGTTGCAATCAAAATGTTCTACAAACAGGAGACCCTCTTTGATCTGAAGAGGGGCATCGAAGAAAAAGGGCCACAACTACCATAATAGCTGTGAGAGAGGAAATACTGTCCCCCTAAAACTAGAAGAGAGGTCAGCAAGGCCGGACCACAGTGAGGTTGCCTGCCTGGCGTGCTCTTCCTCCTATTTTTCAGCACTTGTTTAGAATACTACCCTGTTCTGAAAGGAAGAGGTATAGAGAGGTAGAGGAAAAAAGAAAACAGAATCCACAAGATGCCAATGAGAACACTGTAGAGAACCTATCCAGACAAAGAGACATAGGAGTCACAGAATGGGTGCTTCACAGAAAAAGTCTCAGTTGTCTTAGAATTGACCCACAGACAAAATGTCATTAAAATCAATCCTGGTACTTGGGAAGCTGAAGCAGGAGGGTGGAGCATGTAAGGTCAGCCTGGGCTGCAGTGTAAGGCCTTATCTCCAAAAATCAATAAATACATAAGAATAAACTAAAAAGTCCTGGCAGGATTCTTAGGCAATAAACACAAGCTAATTCTAAAGTTATATGGAAAGGAAGAAGACTGCTAATACAGTGTGAACCCAGATGTAAACTACCAAGACAGTGTGAACCCAGACATAAACTGCCAAGACAGCATGAACCCACCGGTTTTCTTCATCCCAGCTGCGACTGACAAGGTTTGGGGTACAGCAAGTTCATATCCCCAGTAGATGACAGAAAGACTACCAGCCAAAATGATGGGCCTACCTTTTCCTATTTCTATTATACAAGAAGTCACCTAAAATAACAATAAAAGTCTAGAACTTTCTTTCCTTCTCACAGGAGCCTTCACAAATGCTTCACAGTGTTAGTGGCTGCCCCCTTCTCCACACCAGAAAGAACGTGCAACAAAGGCTTCTGCAGCCAGAGAGGGGACATCCTGAAATGCAGGTTGCGCTGCTCAAGTTATGGCGACCTCTCTCTTCTCAGGGAAAGGGAAGCCATACAGTAAGTCCAGCTCTGCAGTGTCGCCTCTAAGGCTGATCTGACAGTCTTTGCAGTGTCCAAGCCATGCGTCTTCCCTTTCATTCAGGACAGGGTCCATCCACACCCCAGGCTGAGGTGTTTCCTGCGATGCTGGCCCACAGCCCTTCAGAGCCACGCTCACCATGTAGTCCAGGAAGCCCTCTACCCTTTCTTGCGACCTGCGCAGCCCGGCAGTACTCAGTACACAAAAGGCAGCCAGCTGCTTAGGGCTGTTCTGCTGTGCGCATTTCAACATGAAATGAAACCAAACCTAAGACATGAGAATTATTTATAGGAATAAAAATGGTTTTAAAAATTCAAGTTTTAGCTAGTTTGACTAAATTCACTCACTTCCTCAAAGCCTCTAAAGCAGTGGGTCATGACCCCTTTGAGGGTACTCAGACGGCGGTCACAGATCAGGTACCCTGCATATTGGCTATCTACATTACAATTCATAACTACCAAAATTACAGTTATGAAGTGGTAATGAAAATAATTTTCTGATTGGAGGTTGCCCCAGCATGAGGAACTGTATTGGGTGGCAGCATTAGGAAGGGCTCAACACAGCTCTAGGCCTATGGTTTTCTGACTGGTTACGTTTGCTGGCACTTAATCTTCCTTTCATATAACACACCATCAGCCACCAGTGCCAGCAAGAATACCACGGTGGCAGGTATACCACTTTCCTTAGTGGGGCATGTGGTCTCCCCCTTGAAAATATTGCTCATCCGTCCCCAGCACCAGCAGGAACGCTGTGGCGACAGCTTCTTTGGGAGCCTCCTCCTCCTCCTGTTCTTCAGCAGTCATCTGACACCTGTAAACACAGCTTCCTCATCAGTAAACGAGGGTGGTGCCGCCTTTGCTGAACTAACAGTTAATTAAGATAGGGAACCGGCTTACTTGTGGCTTCTCAATGGGTTTCAGTCTGATTCAACCAGAGAAGTGCTGAAGTGGCCAGAAGCACACCAGTGAGATCCAAAGTGATTCTTTATGGCATTCCTGACTCAATGGCCTCAACAGCAGAAGTCTAGCCTTCATATCAAGATGCCATGTCCCATTCTGACCACAAGGCCAGACCTTTGTCTAGTTGACAAAGGCTCAGCTGCGTTCAGTGGCTCACACTGACCGACACGTGGGGTGTGCTCAGAGGTGGGTGCATATGGGGTCCCTTTGGCTCAGAATCTTCCTGCATTCCTTAGTTTCCTGTTAAAATCTGGACCCAACATGGCTATGAATCCGATAAAAGGATAATTTTTATTTAAGCCACAAGTTCAGGTCACCAACTGCTCTGCTAATAAGAGCCAGTAAGTCTATTTCACTCATCCAGCATTTGGTCCTAAAACCATCTACACAGACGTCAGAACACTCACTCCAACTGCCCCACACCTACACAAGAATACACTGCGTGTCAGCAGAAACGACATCTGGATCACGGATGCACTGAGCTAACATTAATTAGTCCCAAAGACAAAATTCCACTTAGTGCTGAAATTGAGCTGAAGAGCTAAAAGGAAGCCATCTTGCTCACCAGGGAAATGCCACGTGAGGAACAGAGGTGGCCCGGAAGTCCGGAAAGGACAGACAGCTACCATACTGTTTGTAGGGGCGTGGAAATAATTCCCAATTTCTAAGTTCCTGTGAAAGAACAGTGAGCATGACACACTGGGAAACAAGACTACGAATTCATTTCAGAGAGTTAGAAAGAAAAATGAGCTTTAAGTTTTATTAAATATTAAGATCTATTCCACACCTTAAAGAGAGATGCTTCCTCTCTAGCTGAAACTCAGACAGGACCCACAGAGTCATCTTCAAAGTGTGCATTATGTCAGTTTTCGAAATCTAGAGCAATTAAAATGAATACAAGGGAAGCAGAATAAATACGGCCTCCAAATTAGGAAGTGACATAGTTCTGATCTAGTGGTATCCTGGCCAGACTGCGGGGGAACATTTAAACGTTCCCCAAGTCTGCCCCATTCATCAGTATGCTAATACCACTGAGTAAGTCAAATTAAGAAGCCTGCCTTTCAGGCTTCCAGTATCTTTCTTCTAGATGCCAGCTATTCCTTGCTTCAGGAAGTCACACAGTCTTCCCCAGTGCACTCTGTACGCACGCTCAGACTTCTGACATTGACTATATTAAAAGAAGAATGACGTTCAAAACAAATTGTCCTTCAGGGAGAAGGTGACTGTCCTTAAGAGATCAGCTACCCAGGCCTCATGTAGCGCTGAGTGAGGTCAAGGCCCGGGA